TATGCGGCTCTTTCCTTTGCCATACGCTCGCGTTGCTTGTTGGTAAAAGCTTGTAGGTGTGTCCGAGAGAAACGGTAGCTAGGATGGTACCAGATCTTCTCTCCATTACTCAGAGTAATTTCTTCTTTGTCGCGGCGTTTGTTGCCTCCTCCATCGTTTTGGCTTCTGCTTCTGTCGCGATCGTTGTCAGCCCTAGTTTCGCCCAAGTATCGTCCCCTATCGGTTGCATTGCTGGTTCCTTGGGGGAACTTTTCCCTCACTGCAATTTGGTAGATTCGTAATGCTGTTGTGAAAGTCATCAACATCGGTCTTTTGCCAATTTCCGTATCGATTGCCGTCTTGTTCAGTTGTAGAAATGGTGCTGTAACCTTGCTTTGTAGGCTACGCAGTTTCATTGCATCTGAATGGACTTCTCTCCCCTCATGTTTGTCGCATGCTGCATTAACAGTGCAGTACGACTTTAACTGTTGTCCCTGTCCAATTGGAAAGTCTCTTCCTTACAATGAATAACAGTGGATGGGGTGAATGGGTCTCATCCGAGAGATTCCTTGCTTCATGGTAGGATGCGGGAGGTGCAACAACTTTTCATCTCCAGCAATTCCTCCATCATCATCTTGACCAACCCCACCACTCACAGTAGCTACGCCCCGCGTCTCGAGTATGACCAAGGAAGCAGCATCTAAATATTTTCATGGTGTACATCATGTCATAACTCTTTGGTTGAAGATAGAACCAAAACAACAAATGAATGAAGAAATAAGGATGAATGACAAAATTCAGCAAATGACAATTTGGCGTGGAACTTTTCAAACACAGCGCCTGACTATTCAGGTCCGTAGATAGTATCGAAATATCTACAAAGTAAGCTCGAATCCTGTGTATTTTGAAAAGTTCCAATTTCGTTTTTATGAAGGGGTGTCATGGTATCCGGGCCTAAAGCCAGAAAACCAGGCAAGCGAACACCCTGTAGAAATGTAATGATGCAACATTTTGCTGACTACTTCAAACTTTTTCTTGCGCAGGAGGCATTTATCTGGCGACAGCCTTACTCCTTACTAGTCCGCCCATGACAAAGGGGCTATTGAGTTTGAATAGCTTTTACTCAGCGTTCTTGCGTGGAAGCTATTTTACTTCGCGACAACTTCCCATAACTTTCGCCGAAAATACAGTTTTTGCCCATCGTGTACACAAGCCTAATGAAGGCCTCATAGGCATCATCAATGTAGAGAACCCTTGCTTTTGCCAAGGACAGTTTTAACTGGAAGGCTATTTTCTACATTGTCTCGAAATATCCAGTATTATTGTACTTTCCAAGTCTTGGAGCTGCCTATCTCAGTTTTCGTTTGAAATCCCTGGCAGGTGGCCTGCTAGTCGGGATTTTTAAACGTTTGCCACCTGCCATGTCGACTACAGTTGCATTCTTTCTTTTACTAGTTGCAAATGCGACTGCATCGCCGAAACCTTTCGCTGGCTTTGGAACCGGAGGGCACCTCCTCGTTGAGGTCACTTTGGCTTCCTCTCGAATTTTTTTAATCTTTGATTGAGTGTAAGCCATAGGAGTTACATGAAGTGGTTTGGGATTGGATGTCTTATGCCGGACCTTCACAATCTTGGGTCTTTGTGAATTCAATCTCTGCCTCCTTTCACGCATCCTTGCCCCTTGGTTCTCACGTTTCATTTGGTCGAACATTTTCAATGCCGAGTAGAGCTGCCGCCATGAAGAATTCTTGCGTGCAATTGCAATGTGTTCGGCTAGACCAAATTGAGACAAATTCGACCGACTTTTTTCTGCTTTCACCTTTTCGCTCATCGTAACACCTTCGCTCGAGGCCAACATCTTCCAACTCTTCAACAGAGAGTCTAAGGCGTGAATTGTTTCTTTGTCTAGCCCGAGCTTTTCATTCTTACAACATGCATTGATGAATTTCTGCACGCAACGACCAATGCCGCTGAGCCGTAAGAGCTCAACGTCCATTGGGGAGTTAATCACCACTTCAAGTGCATTATCGAGCTTGGTTCTGTCCTCTTCAACAATATTTCCTTTCTTTCGAACATCCAACAAAGTATCACCTGCTGTCTTCAACCGCAATTCCAGCGTGGAGTATGGCCACATGAGCCCTTTTGGCCTAGATTTAAATTTGAAATTGACAATGTCCTTCCATACCAACGTATCAACAATATTCGAGGTTCCTAGATGGGGCAGGGTTGTTTCGATCTCTAAAAGAAACTTGTCGGATACTGCAGGGTTCATCCGACCTGTGCCATCTAGACCTCCTTTTCCTCGCTTTGGCCGACTCATTGCATGCTTTCGCCGAATAATGTCCTCCCATTCACTCTCGTCCAAGATCTGGAATGCTTCGGCATTGTATCTCTCTAGATTCTTGACAATCGTATCACGACAAAGACTTGCAAGAGTGAGGTTTGATGGCTTGCAATTCATTCTCTCTTAAACCTTAAATGGTCTACTGTGAAGAGTTGGTATGATGAAACGCTAAAAAATTTCGATGGCTATTCCTCCACTCCCGTTACAATCAATCAACCCTCGAGTGTTTTGCACTGAAAATATGATTTCCCGGCTCGCAATTCCAATGTTCGTGTCTTGATAGACAGAGGACGCATGGGACTTGAGAGCGTTAAATTGAGTAGCGAGGTACGAGAGATTCGGGACGAAAACGATTACGATGACAAACATGGGGATTTTACAAGATGTGTGCGAATCTCTAGGTTAAAACTATCTAAACGTACGAATGACGGACACTCTCTGGTCCAATTAACGGTCCCCTCAAGGTGATACTGATGTATCAGAGAACCTTGTACTCCGAATTGGGCTAATATCAACCGTACCCCCTCTTGGGAGGACGTATCATCCAATACTGTCCAAGACTGACAATATCCGGCGACGGATGAAGACGTTTCCAAAAATTAAATTAGAAGAGCAAGTTTTCCAT